ACTTCGTATGTCAGTGTTAGTACGCTCCAAACTGGTCTCATACACTTCGTATGTCAGTGTTAGTACGCTCCAAACAGGTCTCATACACTTCGTATGTCAGTGTTAGTACGCTCCAAACTGGTCTCATACACTTCGTATGTCAGTGTTAGTACGCTCCAAACTGGTCTCATACACTTCGTATGTCAGTGTTAGTACGCTCCAAACTGGTCTCATACACTTCGTATGTCAGTGTTAGTACGCTCCAAACTGGTCTCACTTCGTACACTTCGTACATGTATATCAGTGTTAGTACGCTCCAAACTGGTCTCATACACTTCGTATGTCAGTGTTAGTACGCTCCAAACTGGTCTCATACACTTCGTATGTCAGTGTTAGTACGCTCCAAACTGGTCTCATACACTTCGTATGTCAGTGTTAGTACGCTCCAAACTGGTCTCATACACTTCGTATATCAGTGTTAGTACGCTCCAGAATGGTCTCATACACTTCGTATGTCAGTGTTAGTACGCTCCAAACTGGTCTCATACACTTCGTATGTCAGTGTTAGTACGCTCCAAACAGGTCTCATACACTTCGTATATCAGTGTTAGTACGCTCCAAACTGGTCTCATACACTTCGTATGGCAGTGTTAGTACGCTCCAAACAGGTCTCATACACTTCGTATGTCAGTGTTAATACGCTCCAATCTGGTCTCATACACTTCGTATGTCAGTGTTAGTACGCTCCAAACTGGTCTCATACACTTCGTATGTCAGTGTTAGTACGCTCCAAACTGGTCTCATACACTTCGTATGTCAGTGTTAGTTCGCTCCAAACTGGTCTCATACACTTCGTATGTCAGTGTTAGTACGCTCCAAACTGGTCTCATACACTTCGTATGTCAGTGTTAGTACGCTCCAAACTGGTCTCATACACTTCGTATGTCAGTGTTAGTACGCTCCAAACTGGTCTCATACACTTCGTATGTCAGTGTTAGTACGCTCCAAACTGGTCTCATACACTTCGTATGTCAGTGTTAGTACGCTCCAAACTGGTCTCATACACTTCGTATGTCAGTGTTAGTACGCTCCAAACTGGTCTCATACACTTCGTATGTCAGTGTTAGTACGCTCCAAACTGGTCTCATACACTTCGTATGTCAGTGTTAGTACGCTCCAAACTGGTCTCATACACTTCGTATGTCAGTGTTAGTACGCTCCAAACTGGTCTCATACACTTCGTATGTCAGTGTTAGTACGCTCCAAACTCCAAACTGGTCTCATACACTTCGTATGTCAGTGTTAGTACGCTCCAAACAGGTCTCATACACTTCGTATGTCAGTGTTAGTACGCTCCAAACTGGTCTCATACACTTCGTATATCAGTGTTAGTACGCTCCAAACAGGTCTCATACACTTCGTATGTCAGTGTTAGTACGCTCCAAACTGGTCTCATATCTTCAAGAATTAGTCGTACAAAGAAAATATCTAATTGATCAGGTCTTTTACAAACGAGTAAAACATATTGACTTTTTTTAAATGTAAAAGCCACAATAGGTTTAAGTGTATATATACTAAAATGCTAAACAATAGAGAGGGATAGCATTTGAGCATTAGAAACAATATCTATCATATCATTCTCCTGCTATCAGTGAGTTCGTCCATGGAATATTTTTGCATATTACCAATGTTATATATTTCAGAGTCTTTTCTGTTGATTGACGCTACAAAATGACTATTAATTTGATTCTGTCCTACACATTTTCATTTTCATTCATGGCCTCGAATAATGTTCTACTTTTTCCATCTATATGTGATAGGCAGCCTATTATTCTGGTTTAATCTCAATCGCAACATCTCTCGACTCAGTTACTTCTACAGATGACATACAACAACGGAAATATTTACAGTAGCATCGGGCGGGATTAAAAAGGGGGCATTCTTTTCTAACTGTTATCTGATATAGCAACGACTGAAAGCAAATACTATTGTAATAAAGTTCTACCTTGAAATATTTGCCTCGTATTTCATTAACAAGAATAGTTTAATTTCACCGTTTATGCTTCAGCACGTATAGTATTCAGATCGTATCAGCATAACAGTATATGTGCTAAATTTATCAAAATCTACCACCATGAATAGGACAAACAATCCTACGTTGTCAGGTCAGCGTACAATTTCCACATCTTACAGAGCGAATATTACAAGGAGTTCTTAGTTACACAATATACCGAATGTACCCGTTCATTGTTTAGATTGTAATCAACGAGATTCAGATTTAATAAATATGGGTTAACGTGACATACCATAATATTTTTGTTGTTATTGATAGGTATTCTATTGCACGGTTTTATAATACGTTGTCAGACAACCAATAACAGGCACGGTAATATGTGAAGGAAACATTTATGAGTAAGACTATTGCTTTAACATTATAAAAAAATGAAAAAAAGAAGTTTATATTCATGATCTATTACAATATATGCTATAATCTGTAATATATATATATGCTGTCAAATCGCGCTTAACCCGATTTTGATGATATACCTGCATCATTTATTTGATAAAATAGGTTTATTTGTGTAGTAATTATGCTTATATGTTGTTATCTTTGTTGTTTTTGTTTTTGCCATTTACACCTAATTAATGCAAAATTTGTCGCACAAAATGAATTAAGCTTTATTGTTCAATGCATTATCTTGGTCGGAAAGATTAATTGTTATTCTAAATAATTCTAGACCAAACTGAAGTTTGTCAAAGCAGTAAATTCCTGAAATCCTGAAATCGAAATAATGTTAGGAATGGATTAAAATGAGGAAACGAAACCTTTTTCATTTTTCAATGACAATGAACATGGTAAGTAAGTTTTCTTTAAGACATTTCATCTATATGTCCACTAGTGTGGTTGAAATGTTTTAATGATTTGATGGGGTTTTTTTGTTACGTAATTGAGCACTACAGGATGTACAAAAAATATTTCAAGCCTCAATCATCAGTCAAAACTCTGTACATCTGTATTGAAATCAATATGGATTTTATAAGATTTGCTCTGTTCTTCGTCAATTGTTGAATTGTCGTTTCCCAAAATGTAGCATCACGTAAAAAAAAAAAAAAGACTGACGCTGATGGTTTTAATTTTAAATGAATACCATTATTTGAAAATGATTGTCTATTTTCATTGAATGTAGGCAAGAAATGAGAGGGACAAAACTATTGCATTATCCAGTTTAATTCTTTATTTAGATCGAATGTTTCTAATTTTAACTCTATTATTGAGAATATCACTTTTTTAATACAAATTAAGTTAAGATACAGTAGAGCCTAACAAGGAATTTAACTGCATTATCAGCTGTTGCGTCCTACTGCGACTCGTCAGTAATGCTAAGGGCCTAAATTTCAACTGATCAGACAACTGAAGAAAATCCAAAAGTGGTCGAACCAAATATCTAGAGCGGGAGGTGCAACAGCCTTATGATTTAATGAATTTCACAAGTGTCATCTATCTGATAATTTCAGATGATATTCAATACACGTGTTTATTCTTAACCGTGCCATTTATCAATTTTAACATCAAATTAATGGTAAAATCTGAAATCATACAAGGATTTAAACTAAGTGTGCTCGCCAGAAAATAAAATCACTGGGATACCAACGATAAATCCCTATGTGCATTACTATTTATGACACAGCGCAAAGAATTTGTTACATCTTGTGTTCAGCTTAGCCATTGACAAACCTGACCTAGGTAACTATGATTGATGAAAGCTAAGATAAAGTATGGATGTTACGGTCCGTGTTGAGTCACTGTCTTATTGGCCAATCAGATCACTGTTATGAAGGGTCAAAATTATTACAATAACTGGATAGGTCAAAAATAATTCTAAATTCCTCTTCCTCTGTGTGGTTACTAACAAGTCCCATAAATTCACCGAAACGATGTTGGAAGCTGTCCCTTCCAACTAATAACGATTTCGTTTATCGCTAACATTCCAATAGTGTTATCGGGGATACTATATAAAGGTACACAGTTTAATATAAAGTTACACAGGATCAGTTAAGGACAGCAGGGGAAGAATCATTTTGCTGCACAAGAAAGGTAAACAGCAATTTTATAAATCAATCTTTCATCTTGTATAGATCTTATTTTTCCGTTAACATGGTGTTGTAGAGATATCGATAGCACATGTTGTCATACATTTTGCATAAATAACCGTCAGTGTAAACGATTTTTCTAAGTTTTTCGATAAAATTGCCAAGTAATGTTTTGTATTCATAGAAATTAGATTTCAAATTTAAGATTTGAAGTGTGTTCTATATGTCGACGAGTAAACATTTGATTTTGATTTTGAAGCACATACGTTTACATACATTTCCCAAAGCCACACATATCGATTTCATATTTAATATCATAAGAAAAATTCGGCTCTATATTGTTTAAGACAGTTACTACTACAAATAACAAGATTTATTTAATTGCTTAAGTGACATGTACTATATGACAGATTTGCTTTTTTATTTGTATTTTCACGAACAACCATCTGGATGTTATATTTTGTTATATCGATAAACAGACCGAACATTTCATACATCAAACTTCTAAACATTTTAAAACATCATTACATGCTGATATCTTTATGTAAAATGTATGGATTTCGTGTAAAACAACAATAAATCGTACTTAAGTTGGCGTGAAATCTTAATGGTATGCAATTATCAGATCAGTTAAGCAACTCAATGTCCTCAAATACTTATTAAAATCCATTTGCATATATATGACATTATTATTATTATATCATGTTTATAAGCAGAAAATTTGCCAAATAATAAACGATCGAATCTATATGATACTTTATAGATACGGGAATTGTATACGAAATTCTGTTATAATCCAATTGCATTTGTAAACCAAAACAAATTATTATTATTATGATTATCCAAAATCAATATTATTGTTTTAATCTTACAATATATATTTCTGTTTTATATTCTACAACAGATCAGAAGAAATCAAATAGTTAAAAATGGCACGGCACGGATTGACCTTTATTCTGCTAATGGTAAGTTATTTGACAAATTGCACTTTCAATTACAGCAATGTTAGATAACAGCAGTTTTGTAAAAAGATTCATATACAGTATCCTTTTAATTATAGCGATTAATGACATGACTGGTTTTAGGTTTGCATCGCCTCCCTCGGCGTCACTACAGTAAAGTCGACTAAAACTTCAACATCACCTAAATCAACCTCAACAGCAGCTCCGCCTAAAACTTCAACATCACCTAAATCAACCTCAACAGCAGCTCCGACTAAAACTTCAACATCACCTAAATCAACCTCAACAGCAGCTCCGCCTAAAACTTCAACATCACCTAAATCAACCTCAACAGCAGCTCCGCCTAAAACTTCAACATCACCTAAATCAACCTCAACAGCAGCTCCGACTAAAACTTCAACATCACCTAAATCAACCTCAACAGCAGCTCCGCCTAAAACTTCAACATCACCTAAATCAACCTCAACAGCAGCTCCGCCTAAAACTTCAACATCACCTAAATCAACCTCAACAGCAGCTCCGCCTAAAACTTCAACATCACCTAAATCAACCTCAACAGCTGCTCCGTCTAAAAATTCAGTATTGACACCAATTTTTATTCCAGATACGTTTTATTACAGTACGTAATTACTAACAATATGAGCCTATTTGATATATTGAGATAATCTTCACAACTAATTTATAACACAGATGTAATCCTAGTGACGGCATATATTTTAAGAACAATACTTCCTTGTCTTGAGGTTGAAAACAAATCCGATCATCTATTAGTGTATTATATACGCGTATATATACAGAGGTATCATCTTTCCAGTGGATCTGCCAGATCACGTGGTTTTTCTATGGGTAATCCTGTTTCCTCACACAATAAGACCACGCGTTTGCGGCCTTTCTGTCCAACAAGAATGATTAATATCAGCTTGGTAAAGTTGAATAGTTAGATTCAAAGAAGCCAAAACCTCACTATCTATATAATTATTAATTCTTGTTATTTAAGATTGCACAGAAGAAGGGGATATCCATATCATCAATGGCGGCGGTTCCTTAACTAATTTGACAATTAAATATCTCAACCAATCAGATGTAGGCAACTGCACCGATCCAGAGCTCCAGACAGATGGATCATTTGTGATTACAAATTGCACAAAGGTGAGATAAACATAAATGAAATATATTTTTGAACATTCATATATTTTTACAAATGAAATAAGGTAATAATAACCACAATGCGTCCTCATAGAAAATGCAAATAAAATAGTTAAATTACAAGTATCCTTCATATGCAGTCTATATACATACACCACGTCCTGAATTGTCACTTTAACACACATGAATTTCATGTTAGCACTATATATCTTAAATGCGTCAGTATTTTGAAAGGAGAGAAAAACTATATAGAACAAAGTGACATGCATATTGCTTTTCTGTTTTGGTAGAACACTACGGTCGATATCGTACTTGAGGCTATAAGTGGTACAGAAATACTCGGAGGATACCATTTCAAAACTTTTCAAATCAAATGTGAGGATGTCAGTATCAAGCCTTACTACCTCAACGTAACATTTGATGAAAAAATCAGGTATTTATTTTTTAATATTTCGTCAAATGCTATATGACAGCGAAATTCATTTCCAAACGCATTCTGTTGTGCTTTACTTTATAACAAAACCTCCAAGGTAGTTTTATCTTACAGGAAAACCTAGCAGACAATATAAAGACGAATCAAATAACCATAAGTGGTTTTCATCATTTTTTATAATGTCGCTCAGCTTCATATCTGATACTGTATCAGGTATATCGTACTGCATTTATTGAACTATATATGTTCATTTTCTTTCTTTTCAGCGAAAAAGTCAGTCCTCATATCATAAACATGGCGACAAAACCCACATCTACTCCGATATCAAATTTAACCATGACTATCAAAGATAATACAACAACTGTTACGGAGGCAACTATTGGCCAAACCCTTACGATTGCCATAACCATTCCAGGTAAAATATATCATCAACCAATACCATTCATCATACCATATATAAATATACCTTCATAGCTCATTTTGTCGACGAAAGCTTAACAACGGCGAGCCTGAAAAAAATTAAGCGAAATATCGTTGGTCAGTTCTTTCAGACTGTATTTCTGTTGCTCATCGAGATGAAAGGGATATTCCGCCAAGGTTGCAAAGATATTTTGTCGCTCCATTTTGTTAATGTATCTCTTATGACAATTCAAATTACTGTGAGCGTTAATATATCCTTCCTGTGGTCACGTCGGACAGGCGAAATTGATGGAAACACCCCCTGCCAATATAAAATTAGAATATGCAATCGTTTATCAAAAGATGATTTTGAAAGCGAATCTGCAAAAACAAAACCATGATGTCGAATGATCAGTTGACCAATAACAACAGCGCTGCATCTGCGTTTGTTTTCACTGGCTATTCTCTTCCATAAACTTTAGTTACCGCCAGTACAGTTTCCCAGTTGTGAAGTGTGGGATTTGGCCCGTCCATTTCGACTTTCTCCCCTTTTACTCTGACGTAGAAACCATATTCTTTAGCCCTAAACATGTTTCCATAGGAGTCGCCATTTTTGTTTGATTCGTGTATTACGCAATTGCAAACATGTTGTGACGTCATCATCAGGGCAGGGAGGATATTTGTGAACATATCTAGCTAGACCTAGAAGGGAGGGGGGGGGGGCGTCTTTTTCCATTATAGCATATATTTATCAAATATATCCCCCTATGAACAAAGCCTGTTGGGTTTCGCTGAGATATGTGCATAAACATGTTAATCCTTTTCCATTTGATCAACAGTCTGGATATACAAATCTTTCCGTCATAAATGATGACGCACGCGCAACAATTTTTGAGATTAATGTCACTTATTTCTTAATTCTGAATTGCCGTAGAGTAACCAAGTAGTTTTTTTCTGGAAAACAGGATAATAGTTACTATGTCTTAACTGGTGCAATCATTTCTTCCCGCCATCATGTGTTCGTATTTACAGGATAGACTGCCACGCCTTCAAAACTTTTCCGTAACTTTATCAGCGTTTAATTTGAGAGGAGTTTCTCGAACAAAAGAAGTGGTCAAAAATGACCTTGAAAATATACTGTGAATATCGGATCACCATAGAAACCTAAATGGAAATGTATAAAACTCGTAAAATCATTAACAAAAATTAACATATTTGCCGCGATGTCATTTTAAATGCATCCTTCAGGACATTGCGTTAATTGTCAATTAAAAACCATCATTTAGTACCATTGTATAATGACGTTGTTTTTAAGATAAATCCAGCCTATCAGATTTCGTATTCGCAACAAAACGTGATAATGTGCTTGCTGTTTGAATATGATCCAGATACATTTTCAAATTACCTTCAATACTACCATACAAACACACATAATGATGTTCAATGATATAAAACAATTATGCCTAGACAAAATATATTTCTTATAGCATGTAACCTCTAGTACACATGTATAAAACATTCATCAAAGGCATTATATTCAATTTAATGTACAAACTCATTACAAAGACAAAACATGTCAAACATTTTCAATTATTCCACACTTTTGTGTACTGGTTGCATTCAGATTAAATTGCTAGGATCATGTGAACATGAAATAACATTTGTAAATTTATCTTGCAGCAAAAACCAGTATCAAGCCAACCGAATGTAAGGCAACAGGCAATGGCAAGAAATACATATTGTGGCAGGAGACAGGGTAAAAGAAGCCTATGTTTAGTCAATTTTACTGTATGATGTTGCTTATCTAAAAATGAGAAATTTATGGAGGAATTGGCTTTCACGCCTTCTCATCTAGATTTCAACATTTCACGCGATCAGTTTTGATTTTCCAGGTCATCTCATTAGTTTCTCAATTTAGCACTTAACATCCCTAACTAGTCATAGAAAGACTGAACATCTGTAATATCCTATTCTGTATTTGGATTTACTCTCTCTGATTCGAAATTTGAATTACTTTTCCCTTGTATATCTGACGTACCGTCTTTTATTTGGGATGGTTTACTCTATTAATCCGATAATACGTGCCCATATTGAGTGATCGCAATATCTGTTCATGAATAGCTTACGACCGTAGTATACTTTAGGTCTCATTTGATTTCTTCTAAAGTGTAAAAACTGAATAAAAATTGTGTTACAAAATCATAGATATCCATAATAGATTTCAATTTTCATGATGTAGCATGACATTTCATTATAATTTTGTCCTCGGATAGGGCTACTATTGGTGATATTTGGCAATTCAATTAGTCATGATAATGAATACGCCCATTTTTTAAAAGTTTTATTTTAGAGGTGTGTGCTTTGCTTAACAACGAAATGATTATATTATTTGGTCATAATAATGATACGCCCATGGATTCGATACATGTTTAAGACTAGTACGTGATAACAATTACGTCCATGGATTCGATACATGTTTCAGACTAGTACATGCTAACAATTACGCCCAATAATTCGATACATGTTTAAGACTAGTCCGTGTTAACAATTACGCCCATGGATTCGATACATGTTTAAGACTAGTACGTGTTAACAATAACGCCCATGGATTCGATACATGTTTAAGACTAGTACGTGTTAACAATAACGCCCATGGATTCGATATATGTTAAAGTCTAGTACATGTTAACAATAACGCCCATGGATTCGATACATGTTTAAGACTAGTACGTGTTAACAATAACGCCCATGGATTCGATACATGTTTAAGACTAGTACGTGTTAACAATAACGCCCATGGATTCGATACATGTTAAAGTCTAGTACGTGTTAACAATTACGCCCATGGATTCGATACATGTTAAAGACTAGTACGTGTTAACAATTACGCCCATGGATTCGATACATGCTTAAGTCTAGTACATGTTAACAATTACGCCCATGGATTCGATACATGTTTAAGACTAGTACGTGTTAACAATTACTAGTACGTGTTAACAATTACGCCCATGGATTCGATACATGTTTAAGACTCGCACATGTTAACAATTAATCAAACATTATTGTTATTTTTTGGCTGTGTTTTGGTTATTTTGTTCTTATTTATTTATCTATTTTATTTTGTTTCAATTTTCTGTTTCCTTTTCGATTTTGTTTTTGTTTTTGTTTTTTGTTTTTTTTTTTTTTTTTTTTTTTCCTTTTTTTTTATTTTAGAGGTGTGTGCAATGATTGGCAACGAAATAAGGTACATTTTGATATCTGTAAGATTGAGCAAACAACTCCATCTCTATTTCACAACTGTCAAAAATAGTAAGCCTAGTTATTTAGGTATGTATATTGAAAGTGATACACTACCTTTACTTTTAATTTTTTAGTATCTTTTTATTTGGCATACGGTTTTACACTTATGGATTGGAAATCCCTGATTTTTTTTTATAGAAATCACTGTCTCTAAACAAGGTAACCCCTCAAAAGCTCAGCAGGAGAGATTCTACTCCACTGTGATATAATGACATTTATTTGATATCAAACTATATGATATATGAAACTAACTAGAAAGAGCTTGTCTTCAACGTTTGTATATTTCACTCACCATGCCTTGTTTACTCAACACCCTGATCAAGTGTTTACATTAGGTTATCTGTAGTATCCTACTTCAGACGAAAAACGCGACGAGGAGCTTAACATGAGATAACTAGCCGATTTTGATGAAAGAAAGATGTACTGACCACACCCTTGATGATACAGTTTTTCCGAAATTAACTTGTCTAATGCATTCATTCATTCATACTCTTGAACAGTACATTTGACCCAACCAATGTAAACCGTATGATGTCTTATTTTTGGAGATAAGCTATACTGAGGTTGTTTATTAAAATGATAACCATATTGAATGATACTAATTCCATTGTGATATACCAATGTAGGGGATCTCCACATTTGTACATAAACAAATACTCCCTTATCATTGACGCACAAAGCTAATAATGAACATAGCCATGTAACTTAATAGGCCTGCTTAACTCCATCGTCCCCACGATTGATGATATTAGATCTGAGTATCCTTCCAGCAATATCTTGAATATTATAAGGAAAATCCGTATAAAAAACTAAGAATACAGCATTTTTTAAAGATCTTCAACCGAAACGTATGTACATATTTCTTTTTCTCATTAACTTTCCCTTTTAAAGCTACTGGATTTCCCTAATTTGTGTCTTAGTTACGATACGATCATTCGGGAAACGTTCGATATTATTCATGAATACGGAAGGAAAACAGAATTCGTTTTCTACATAAGACTAAAAGATTTACGAATGAAGATTCTCGTAAGCTCGTGTCTATAAGTATTAAGAAAATACATTGTCTTGTTTTGTCTTACATTAAACAATGTCATTGTTCTTTACCATCCTAAGAGTCTTTTTGTCCATTTCTTTCATTCATATCTTTTTTTTTTTTTTTTTGCTGTTGAGATATTCTTAAGTTAGATATTCTGATCGATTTCTTTCAGAGTGAAATAGTTGTCACATATTCTTTAGTCGATCATTCCAATTTTCTTATTGTTTATTTTCTATTTGTGGATAGCAATATTTCCATCCCCAACATATGATGTTAACATATCGCGATCGATTCCATATTCAAGGGCCAGTTATCAGTATCATGACTTTCGTGCAAAATGACGGCAACTCACAGAGAAACTCATACCAAAATTTTTCGGGAGTAGGTTGATGAAGATCATGGGGAAGTGTAGTTGTTGTCAAAATTACCTGTGAGAGAAAGACGTGTATTCTATTTCCCAGCGATATGAAGCTGGACGTGTTAGATGTTCGTTAGTTTGCTTCTTGGTACTGTCGTTGAAAACCTTGTTTGCATTTGAAAACGTTACATTATTCACTTAGATTGACCAAGGTTTATATGACAGGTGTCGTCGATGAAATAAAAGACGCTTACTCTTCCGGAACACCTGGTTGTATTCTCGTTGTACTTTTTACATGAGTTTCCTTGTAAAACTCTCTTTTGTTCATAGTTTGCCCTAGCTTAGTTGAATTCAGTTTGAATTATGATTGTGTTGGTATTTTCCTTGTTTTCTCCCTGTTAACTAACGTCTTGCGTGGGAGCATATTTGCTTGCAAGTTCTTTATTATACAAAATAATGCATTTTACATTAGAGTATATCATAATTTTGAATTAAAGGTTATGCTTCTTAAACTATTGTTCTTCTTGATGTCCTTTACATAGACATTTAATATTCTGTCACAGTATGATATAAATGGTATGAACGTATTTGTTAATATACAATACCCAGAAAGCATACATGATATTACTGTTCCAAGTGAGGTAAATGGCGACATTTAATCATTACAATGCAATAATGTTTACATACAGTTACAATATTGTTGTGTTTAAAAGTTTACGGTAAAGAACAACGCAATACAAATTAATACGTTTTTGTGATGAAAAAAAAGTTTTAGATTATAGAAAAATCCTTGTCAGTTTTTGGGTGTAATTTATCTTGATATTTCATCAATAGGTTATGTTGTGTAGGTTTCCTTAAAAATGTACTATCCAATACATCATAGTATAATTTTCTCTTCTTTTACGGAATGTTATCATTTAATGCTACAGATGTAAACACGACAAAGAGGTGTTTGGTGATAAGTGGACAAACAATGGAAAAGATGTCACGAACACCATGTACGGCTTCCGGTTTGTAGGGGCATCAAAAGAAATCACTATCACATGCACAGTGCGTGTGTGTCCAGAGGGATATGGAGGACATGAATGTGAGCTGGTAGGTGACGACTTATTCATCCATTTATTCATTTTTAACGTGTTAGACAATCATTTTACATGTACTTTTAAGTAGTTATGGCGAATGTACTCTACAATAATATATACGAACCGCAATTTAGCTTGATTCACGGTGGATGAAAAATATATTTGAATATGTTCAATTACTGTTTATTTCATTTCCATTTATTTGTACCAATTTCATCCTCAAATACTACCTGGACATCTGCGAAATATTAGTAAATATGCAATATCTGGAATTTATCTTTTTTTAAACAGGCCAGGTGCTCACAAACTAAGAGGAAAAGAATCAACCGTTTGTCAGATGACGTTACCATGGAAAAAGCCACAGCATCTTTAGCCATTATAGATCCACTTCTGACTAGCAGGGCAGGACGTAAGTAAATTAAGACATTCTGCATGTATTCTAGAACATTAAACATTACCAAGAAACTTTAGAAAATCGCTGTTTTTGGGGTTGTTTTCTTTAAATTTGTTATTTTACTATTTCATCAGATCAAATTCAGCATGGCGTAAAATCATTGTTTGAATTTGTGTTGTATATGATGTATTATTGTACATTACAATATTTGCTTAATTCCATACTATCATGGCTATTTCTATTTCAGGGCTGGGCGCGGAACTGAGCAACGCCATTGCGCTGTTTGTGGCTGCTCTTGCCATTGTGAAAGTGAACTTCATTAGGGAGTGATTCTTTTAGTCTAAGAAGACAAATGTGTCCAAATATATTATACTACATTCCCTTTGCTTTTTTTCTGTCAAATCTGATGAGGATATTTTAAGCTTCATAATACGTTCATCAAAGTAACCATATATGTGGTTGCTTTTGATAATTTCTATAATAACATATTTTGTATATCATGATTGCCAATAAAACCACATATTTCTGTAATTTGAATAAAATTGTCTATGAATTGTCATTTTCCGTTTTGCCTTAAGTGTTTCAGAATTATTTTCTGTAAATGAAATAAGACGATACTCAAAATGAATACCTGGGTATTGATGGAATATTACGTAGATCCTGATGGTATATTCCTTATGGAGCAAATCGGTATAAGAACAGAAATGTTTTGTTAACATAAAACATAGTAGAAGTTGTCAGTCTGTTTTTGTATGTTGTCAGATAATCATATACATGTATTTGTTTCTTTCATTTCAACATTTAAATTGAAAAATGCGCGGTAGTTTTTCACCAGCTGTTGAAAACCGTACGAGATAAAATATATGAATTCATGAATGCCCTATATACTAACGTATTCCGTGAAAAGTATGCCGTCTTTTGTTGAGTGTATCAAACATTATATTTTGTTATTGCGCTCACAATTAAGTTTATGCCATTGAACTTATTTATATAACATCAACAAGAGATAAAGGGTAACAGTATTAGAGATAGTTAGATGTTTCATATCAATACTATTTTATATGTTTGGAGTGATGCAATAACCACAGCTACTAGACAAAGTAAACATTGAAAAAGAAAACTATCCCATTGACCCAAAAAAGTACAATCGACAGAAAATAAACAATTAAATAGTAAACGCATACAGGATTGTTTTCCCTATTGTTTACTTTTGTTTACCTTCTCCTTCGCTTTATATATAGAAACTGTAATATAATAATCTATTTACTGATACGACTGAGGTTGTCATCGGAAATACATACACCTACTTCTAATCTGATGTGTGATATTTGTATAATGTCGTACCCCTGTATATATATGCCTGTGTACAGTGCACGAATCAAACATTGTCTTCCTTTGTCAATTGTGCTACAGTGTCCTAAATAGTTAATATATTAGTATAATGCATCATATACAGTAATGATATTGATCCGAAGATTTAAGAATTAAACAACAGTCGTAATTGTACACGAGTTTGATGTATATTGATTAAAAGCCCTCAATTATATATATAACCTTCAGATATTTAACCTTCCCTTCAAATATCTGGTTTCCGCATTGGTTTGGATATATACACCGATACCCAGAGAATGGCTAGTCCATTGGTACGCGCATAAAAACAAATTCATTTTGTTGGTGACTTAACTGGAGAAAATACTTGGTACGTAAATAGGTGGTACAGATAAGATAGGTTTTGTCGATTACAATTCCTGAATAGCATTTATTTATGTAAAATTCATTTAACAAATTAAAAAAAAAAAAAAATATTGCAAAGGTAGCAATAACAAATATTTGGAAACTGATGTTTATTTTCATAATGTGATAGGAATTTGAAGATATCTAAGAAAGAGATATGAAATAATTTTCATTAATTCTACAATAATAATATTTCGTAAGGATGCTAAAACCCATAACATCCCTCATTATGTTTCAAATGTGCCATATTTGATCGTTTATGTATCCATATGAATCATGATTGTGCTTTCATTTACATGAGTAGTATGTAAAATTTGTGAGGTTAAGAATCAACGTCTAGCATGATCCACGAATCTTTTGCGACAAATCCATCATTCTATTGAAACAAGTCAAACCATTTCAACGGGGAAAAAACAAATACTTTGTTCAATTTTCGGTCGATAAGAAATGTCTTTTCGGACAGTATGACATAAAAATCATTATAATGAATAAATAGTCCATCAAAGTGAAAGGAGGTCTATATTTATGGCTAGTGTAAATAAAGCATAATGTTAGTTTAACTGTTGAAAATTTCCTATCAATGTAGGTCAATCAGAAACAATAGACATATAAACAATAAATATGTTATCTCACATCTATTACAATGTATTATTTATAGCAAAGCTTTTTGTAATAGACTATATAAATATAGGTACAGATTGATCAAATACACAAGAGAGAAAGTAATTTACGGCAGGCAAGTTATTCCTGTACGTAAAAGGTAAAGTAGATTTTTATTGATCTATTATAAAAATGTATTTTTATTATTATCATAAATGTCATTATTATCATTATCATATTTTTAAAAAAAAATATAATTTTAAAGATACAACAAATATACAATTATTAATATCGATAACAAAATTTATTTTTTAAACGTTGACTTTATTTATTCCACTTCATTATAAATGTCATTGTGTGACTCACATCGGCAAGCTGGTGACTATCTTTTAGGTCAAAAGGGTAGAATGGTGCTGTCATATTCCAAATTAATATATGTTAGACGGATAAGTAGTGAAGTAGATAAATATTCTCATGGATAACTCCACATCCGACTAAATAATAAAGGGGATATTGGGTCAAGTAGATAGCGGAGTCTACAAAAAGATAAAATGACTTTGAGATGTCTGGTTACAGGGAGCTAGCCAGGTGTTTGATATTTGTAAAGGGCAGGGGCTGGTGGGAAATGACAGCCTGAATCGATATGGAAACTTGTTTAGCACAGGGTACGGGTAATGGAGAAAATGATTGTTGAGGACGTGAAAATTTAAATTTGAATTAGGAGCATAGCAAACACTAGCATTATACTACAACAGTGATTTATAACAACAATTTTTTTTCAATTTTTTGGATACAATGATTATATGCAATAAATCAATAAAAGAATACAAATTTCATACTTTTTTTTTAATCAGCATATTGGTATTTTATATATACTGTATTGATATACCACAGATTTAGAATCAAGGACAACACCTTTAAATTAACATGAAGACTTCCCTGGTTTCGCTGTCATGTTTCGTGGTTCTCTTCCTGATATTAATAAAAGGATGTGCGGCTAAAGGGTCTCGCCATGACATCAGACTGTCATATGGTAAGCTACATTCTGTATGCTTATTTTATTCTCCTTAACTTTGATAGGATAATATGTAGTATGTCCCAGGTACCATGGAGTAGATATTTCTTGTCGATGTGAAAGCAGACACACTGGCAGTAATATGATGCATATGCATTGGATCGCATTTAAGGTCTTTCCATGTATGTCACGTCTTAATCAATATGAATTTCACCATGGTACATAATATCAACATATGTCTGTTGCAGTTATAGATATCTTCAACGAATCCGTACAAATTCGAAATCATACAAGTAATCAACTAACCTTATACGATTCTTTTTTTCTGAATTTTGAACAACACATGAAATGAGAAGATCAGTTTGGTCGTTTTCACAAAATTTCCGTGTATTTTCTATTAAAAACAAATTTTTTACTCATGCAAATCCTATAAGATTTATTCTTTATAAACATTATGTGCCTCTTTCACTTGAAACAATTACGTGTAACATCCCTTGTGACATAAATATTTCTAAAAAGTATTGCAAAACAGCAATTCATCGATACGTATAGACAACACAACAACATTATCAATAACGATATTGTTTCGAAAGTCTGCAATTCAGATGATTGGGTAGATCTATCCTTCACTGGCGAAGATTGTCAAAACATCCGGTACGGTATAGGTGTCTGTGGATATCAGTCTATCAATGTCAATTTCACTTCCGGATTCCATCACGGTACTTTGAGTGGCTGCGACAAGGTAAATCCGTGTATATAGTATATGATTTCAAGTTCAAGATTTCTTATGACAGACAACAATTCATCACATTCAAAGTCTTTTTGTTTCCAAAGTTGTCGCTTATATAATTGCTAAATCGTCCAGTAAACAATTTTCACTTTCTTCATGAACTGCAGTTAACTGTTTTGAAGCACGTCATTAGAAATGTTCTTGTGTTCATTTTTTCCTTTGTGGCCTCATTTGGTACCAACTGAAATTCTGATTCTGTGAGCGTAAAAACTTCCTGGAACGTTAAACTTTTAATGACAGCAACATCTGTCTCTATACTATGTTCAACATTAGGTCGGCTTACTAATCTAGATAAAGCATGTATCAGGACTTATAACGTATTGTTTTTGAAGTAAGATATTTGTCTTGAGTTGTTTTGAAATGTTCTTTAATATTTTACGTCACGTAAATTCATATACATATCCTTCGAAAAATAATGCATAAGCAGGTTCAAGTAGGTACAATTCGTACTTAAACATATGAGATATATTTGAAAAAAACAATCGTATTCCATTTGTACATTTATAGAACATGGATATATATTTATATCTATATGACTATAAGCCAGTCCTCATCAACATGGCATTACCTATCCAGACATACGTTTTACAATGCAATACCAAGAATACAAACATCAGTGCAGTGCTCGAGAGGGACGATGTAAAAATAACCCGGTAAGTCCAAAAGATTACTGTTAAAGAAACTACAAAGTAGTAAATCTCAATGTAAGGAATACAGGCTATTTTTCCCGTTGAACATAATATATTTTTCACAGGTTTAACGGCATATTTTTTCAAACGCATTACGTGAAATGAAGGAAATGTAAAGGATGTTTAACAAGAAAACATTTTTTAAATTCAAATAGTCAAAGACCGATCCAAAAATGAATCAGTGTAAAAGACGTTAAGGAAATACAAACATGCTCTGTGACATCGAATGGGTTTGCATTTGACAACAAGACAATATCACTTTATGCATGATGTTTTCTGGTAAGAATCACTTACAAAATGGTGGACCAATACCAAATGAGAGCAGACATGGAAAAGATGTTCTCACAAAAAACAGATTATTAACATTGCTTCATTTGCGTTCGAATAGGGAACAGCAAATTGTTAGTTTCTTACATCATTACTGCAGAGATAATGTAAAATTTAATCCATTTGATATATTCTTATATTTCACGGGCAAAAAAATTAATAAATATATCGTAAA